GGTGCCAAGTATGCGAGCTTTTTGCAGGCTTAGATCGTTTCAATGGTGGAGCAATGATGCACCGAATGAGTCATAATATTATTGTCCAAAAGTGTTGTTAATGAATGGGTGTCACTGTCATAGTAGTGATTTACATATTATTATTATTTCAGTAATTCATTTTATACGACTCTTGGTTATGAACAACGTTTGGAAATTTGATTTGTTGCTATGTGTTAGCTGTGGAATATTATTCTTGCTATTCAGGTATGGAATAAAATAAAGGAAGTTTCATTAAAACACCCAAAATGAGAGTTGAAATTGTAAAAAAAACTCAACACCCAAAACACTTTATAAACACACTCAAAACCCATCATTACACACACTCAAAACTCATTTATAAACACACTCAAAAAATATATAATTGTTGATTTTGGGTGTGTTTATATGTTTAAATAGTGTCTGGGTTTTTTTATAAATACATGTTTAGAATTGAGTTTATTTATAAATTTGTATAAAATAAATTATGTAATCCCATTGGTAAAATATATATTTTGTTAGCCTGTCAGTGTCTATCGATCAGAATCAGTAGAGTGATGTTTGTTGTTGCTAAGATTTTCTCACCTTAGCTTTTGCATAATGGGTTCATTGGACGATGTACATTGTGCGATAGATCAATCAATCGCTCGACTATGAATCTTTTTTCTTCTTTTCATTTTTTTGAAAATAAGAAAACTATGGCAGCAAGGGGCTTGTAATTCTAGTGGTAGAGCATTTAATAATTAGAAGAAAACGAAGCATTTGCTTGCTAAAGGAATAAAAAACAAAGATATGAAGCCGACGAATATAGAACAGGTAAAGTAAAAAGATCGTTGGCATATTAGTGTCGTCTCATTTTCTTGGTGAGTAGGTGAGTGACCCAGAAAAAGAAAAAGAACTAATCTAATCTATACCCTTAATCTATTTATTAACGGGTCTCCAGTAGTCTCTCAATGCTGATTGCCTCAGGGAGAGAGAGAGAGAGATAGAGAGAGAGAGAGAGTGAGAGAGATGGAGAAAAAGAGAGAGAGTGAGGAGGATAATATGGGAAGGTTATGCAGGAGGTGCAAACGAAGCTACAGTCCTGCCTCCAACACTCCTTCCTCATGCCGCTTCCACCCTTCTTTCTTCGTCTGTCGCCGTCATGACGACCAGAAAAGGTCTCTCTCTCCTCCTCCAATTTATTGAGTTTCTTTTTACTATAATTTTCGTTGAATTTCGATTTTTTATAAAACTAAGAGATGCCCATTTATTTAATCTGTGCTTCTGATTCCATGTGTTTATTTTCTTGCGTTTAGGGTAATGATGTATCCGAACCCTCATGTCCTTTTCGTCCTAATTTCTTACAATGTTGTCTTTCCCCAAACGCAAATGTTGGATTGTAACTTTTGAATGAGAAATTCATGTTTCTGGTTTAGTTAGTTGATCCCTGGTATGCTCACCAAAATCCAATTTGATGTTTTTACCTCTACTCAGTTGATGTCAGTTGGCTGTATGAAAATTAGGAGTGTTGTTTTTTCTTCTCTTCTTGTCTTTAATAAAATATTTTCCATGGTTGTTGTTTCAGCTTATTGTTTTATACGTATGTTTTGTTACTTACACATTTATGAGTGCCAAGCCAAGGGAAGCTCTGACTCTGAGGGAAGTAAAGTTGCATATCACAGGATAGGTACAGCAATTGCATGTATATGTATTCAAACCAGTGAAACACAAATAACCCGTGACTCTTGTAAGAGAGAGTATTTAAGGGGTTGCCCATTTGCTAATGACTGAGCAATTTGATATGGTCTGCTAAGTTATATGTATAAATTCCTTTAGAAATCTAATCACTTTGCAGCTCTGATAATGAGTAAAAGCTCATACATCACTCTATGAAGACAATATATAAGAAGGTTACTGTCCAGGCTATGTTTCAATGATCTCCTTATTGATAATTGCAATTGCATAATATATTCACGGAAGTTGTTAGAAGACAGAATTATTTGGAATACTGCATCAGGTAGCAATAAATCTAAACTCATGTGTTCTTGGCCTTCAAGATTAAATGGATGAGAGAGAGAGAGAGAGAGAGAGAGAGAGATTGGGGTACATAACTAGGCTTTCATCTTAAAAATTTGGGGTCAGCTGAGGTTGGAGAACGTCTCCAAAAAACATCATCAATTTCACTTTCACATCTTGAAAAATATGGATGAAGTGAAAGTATATATTTATCCAATTGGGCATTGATGTGGATATGAACAACTGTAAGCTGTTGCAGAGGGAATTTATATACAAAGTTTCGAAGTGTCTTGAGCCACTAAAGTGGTTATGGTAGAGAAATTGCTGGGAGAGAGAGGGGAGTCTGGGAGAGAAATTGCTGTGTGACAAGATTGGGTGTGTACTTGTGTTTTTGTGTTGTGTATGTACGAGCATTGTGTTCAGAACGAAGATGATTTGTTAGGTTCTAACTTTGGTTCTCTTTCCTATGATTTGATTCCTTTTTCCGTGGTTGATGCTTATTATTCCTTATTGGTTCAAGGTACTATGAATTGGGACCCAAAGATCCGCCATACGCAGCCAAGTTCTATGACTGTTGTGGGGCTGAGGATCCTGAGGCATCCGGTTGTACTACCAGTTTCCATGTTTCATATGATGATGATTGATGTAATATCTCTCTTTCTTCATTTCAGTCTTGCACTGTAAAAATAAATCTGTACGTGTCTCCAGTAATCTCCTCCATTATATATATACTAATGTCTTTGCATGTTTCATGAGAGTCATAGGGTTGTGTAGTTTAGGCACGTCAATTTTATTGCCTCTGGCTAGTTGTGTTGTGAAATAAAGTTAGATAAAAGCATTTCCAACTGATGTGTCAAACGTGCCACATAGACATTTAACAGTTAGAAATAACATCTCACATCACTCCAACCGATGTGTCAAAGCTGATGTGGAATGAAGGCTAGAGGTTGAGATGTTATTTTTGACATCTGAAAAGTAAGATGTGAAATGAATATTTTATTATTTTTTCTTTTGAATTAAAAATGAATCAACATTAAAATGTAATAAAATAATAATTTAATTTGACATATCGGGTGAAATGTAAAGTTGTATAAGATGTCAAACTGCCACATCAGCTATCAAATTTAAATTTAATGTTTGGTATTTGACATCTCCCTTGAAGATGCTCTAAAGTGTCACTATTCTATGATGAAACTGCCGAAAAAATGTTGAGAACTTTCAGTTGAGAGATTTGGCCCAGATGATATCAGCAGCAGCATGTGGCTGTGTATCTGGTAGAAGAAAAACAAAGTAATGTCAAGAGAAAAGATAGTGCAAAATATATGATAAAATCATCAGGCAGGAAGGAGGGAGGGAGGGAACTTCAGTTGAGGCTCTCCTCGCCTCTCCTCTCCTCTCCTCTCCTCTCTTCATAGAGAAGATGTACTTCATACATGTCGTCTTTGTTTTTTGCAACTACCTACACCTTTTGTTCCTCTTCTTTTCTGCAATTTTGTGCGATTTTCATGATTTGATTTGATCCCACCCAACCACCCATGTGGATGACAGTTGTTGTTTTTGCTTTCTAATTTCTTGTATGATAGATTTTGGATCTTCTTTCCTTTTCCTTTTGCTTTTTCTTTTTCTTTTTCCTAACTCTGATTATTTATTCCAATTTTTGGATATGTGTGTGTTTGTCATCCCTGGAGCATTTGATAAATGATTCTTTGCAATTGTTATTTCGTATATATTTACAAATTATGTATACTATCATTTTCCAGTAACATCTGATTTCTGAGGGAAAGATTAGAAAACGGTTCTAAGTCTTCAACAACCTTTTTGCGAAGTATTTTCAAATAATACAAAAATCCAGTACGAGAGAGAGAGAGAGAGAGAGTATGATTATAAATCTCTTTGATCATATCCCTTTCTCAATTCTCATGAAAAAGGCATGTGATTTCTTGAAACATGACATGTGGTGGTTAAAGTTAAAGCAGCTAGCCTCGGCCTTGTATTCTATTATTGTAAATAATTGCAGAGCTCAGCTCGGGAAATCTGCGGAGTGTGTGTGAGAGCTGGCCAGTCTCAGCCCAAGGCTTTAGGTTAGGCTGGCAATGGCATGCAGATGCAGTAGACAAGTAGAGCTCGCCATCCACGCCCAGAGATCAATTAACCAACGCATTCAAGATTTAGCATATACAAGACAAGTTGTAAACTTATTAATTTAATAGATAGCAGCCAACCTCCCTTTCTCACGTCTGTCGTTACTTTGTATTGGTTCTCCTTGAATCAATAATCAATATTAAAATTCAATATTTTACAGCATTTGTATATTTTCTATGTTTAATTTCTAGTTTTATTTTGGTCAAACTCGATCCACGTTTAATTCATTGTTAAGTCAACATAACAACGATGTATATGTATTAACTGGCACGGCATGCTTGTGTATTGTATCATCTGTCTGTGGATGTATTTGGTTGCCAGGGTTGTACCAATACAATACATATTCAATAAAAAAAGTGTTGCAGTTGCAGTGCAGGAGAGAAACAACCGCTTCCTCAACTTGCATTCAAATCAAGGGAAGAACGTGATTTGTATGTACGATTATATTCAATTATTTGTTATCTGATTGAGACTTGAGAGTAACATGAGTCTCTGAATTTGTATGCAGGATATGTGTGAAAATCTCACAGGCACTGATCAACGTTTCGAAAGGTGATATCTCACCTAATTCATACAATCTAATGATAATTCCTTTCCTTTCCTTTCCAATCAAATTTGGCTCACCAACAAGAACTAATCAAGGTTTGTTGCTTGCTTGCTAGTCAGCTTCCCACCATACATGAAACATAATAAAACATAAAATAAAAGCCTAAAAAAGGTGTTTCTTTACCATCCTCCCCCAATTCAGTTTAATCAATATTAATTGTCTGTTACTTCATGTAATCTAAACACTCATATCTTCTCCTTCTATTCTATATGCTATATAATATATATAAGCTGCCTATCTAATCTAATCTAATCCAAAAGCTCATCTAATTACGTTCATTAGGAGGTTTTATAGCAAAACTTGTACAAAGTATATATATATGTTAATGATGAAAACCCATTAATAATTTGTTTTCAGTTTTCTTTCTCTCTCAAACATTTCTATGAGTGGTCTCAAGCTCTTGGGAGAGGCTCTCGTAGGCACGGTAGCGCATGCGGAGAGGCTTGTGGGACATAGAAAGTCAATGTCTTGGGTAAATTAGATCAAAAAACAGAGTAAAATTGGAGACATTTTTAGGACGGGAATTACAAATGAATATGACGACTCAGTTTCCCTTTACGGAAAAGCAGGGCCAGCAGCAGCAGCAATGGTAGACTAGACAGGTCTTTGACTCTTTGGCTTAGTCTCATGCATTTGGCAATGTGTGTGCTTGACAGGTTAAAAGATAAAAGGCAAGAAATACTAGGGGCACTTTTGTCTATTCACGAGCTCTCGTTCCTAAGATACAGACACTCCCTCAGAAAGAAACAAGTAAAAAAGAGAGTACAAAGTACATGTAGTAATACTAGAAGAAGCTGAGTTGTGCAGTGTGTGTGACCATTTGAGAGACAAGAAAACCAACCCAAATACTTTTCTTCGTTCCTTCTTCTGTAAATTCCTTGTTTTGGTTTCTCTCCAACTTCATCTCCTTTTATTTAGTTTATGCTCCTTTTTATTTTTATTTTTATTCTTATTCTTTTAACAAAATAAAAGGAAGGAATTATAGCAACATGTTATCTGTCATCTAAAAACTTTGTTGCATATTACATTTTCACTTACAATGGCAGCATCTTTAGATCTTAGACAGCTGCCCAACCCCATCTCACAACAATAACACACACACATTTCCTACCTAGTGCTCCACTACCACTTCCACTTCCACTTTCTTCAACCACCACCATGTCTTCCAAGTCCAAGTAAGTTATCTTTCTCTCTCATCCCCTACCTTCCTCTCTCTATCTCTTACTCTGGCACTGTGCCGCCGCCGGGAGGAGTGAGAGGAAGATCAGATTTCGTTCTTCGTATTCTCTGTGTCCATAGATTTTATATATGTATGAAAATTTTCAATTTGGGATTTTGTTGCCGGTTTCCTAATTAGTGCGTGCGAGGGATCTGCTTTTATCATCTCCTCTCTACTAGGTTTTTTTTTCCCTGATATTTTCTCCAACTTTTTTTTTTCGTCGGTTCTGATTCTGAATTTGTATTTTTGCACACGGGTTTTACTTCTTTTCTTGATTCTTGATTCTGATATGAGTTATTCATTCAATTCTTAGATTTTGATCATTATTTTCGTTGGATCTGTTCTTGAACAATTTTGTCACATATTATTCATATATATATATATATATCTCTCTCTCTCTTTCTCATTCTATGTGTTTTGTTGTCTTTTCTGGGCTTTTTCTCTTGCTAAATTTCCAATTTTGTGACAGATCCATCCTCCTCTGGACCCCCGTTTGATTTTTTGATCAGGGGTTGTGCTGTGCTTATACATATACATATATATTATATAATGTCCGCATTGTTTTCTTTGATATAATATGGATATGGTGCTGACAGTTTGAAGTTGAACAGATCTTCTGCTATTATATCTGAAACTCCTAAAAAAGCATCCCCAGCAACCCCTCGAGTCAGTAAACTGAGCAGGGGAGTCGCTAAGTCAGATTCCGATTCACCCTCTCCTTTGCAGAATTCTCGCCTTTCACTTGATCGCTCCCCAAAGACCGCCTCTGTCAACTCCAAGCCCACAGTTGACCGCCGCTCACCGAAGATCACTACCCCACCTGAAGTGAGTTTTAGCAACTACACTTGTATTCTACTGCTTTATTTTTATTTTTGACTAATTATTCTTTTCTTTTCCGGTGACACCTGTAGTGCTTCAGTCATTTAGAGCACATGTACTTCCTTACAAATTGTTTCAGTCTGCTTTGGACAGAAAATTGAAAATGAAATTCTACCATAGATATTAATGATGCTTTAGAAATATAATACTAGCTATTGGAGATGGATTTTGAACTTTTTATTTCATTTTCCCTTTTCTGATTCTTTCTTGAAAAGGAACCAAGTGTCCCTCACGTCATAGGCTTATAGTAATGTGAATTGTGATCTACAATTGTTAATTTATAATATTTTCAGAAACAACCAACACGCGTTGCAAAGGGATCAGAAATACAGGCTCAATTAATTCTCCTTCAGGAAGATCTAAAGAAAGCAAAGGAGCAGATACTTTTGATTGAGAAAGACAAGGCAAAAGCAATTGACGAATTGAAAGATGCACAGAAAGTGGCCGATGAGGCACATGAGAAGCTCAGAGAGGCATTGGTGGCTCAAAAGCGAGCCGAGGAGAATTCTGAAATTGAGAAGTTTCGCGCCGTTGAGCTGGAGCAGGCAGGAATTGAAGCATCCCAAAAGAAGGAAGAGGAATGGGAGAAAGAGCTTGAAGCTGTGAGGAACCAACATGCTCTGGACGTGGCCACTCTACTCTCTACCACTCAGGAACTTCAAAGGTTGAAGCAAGAACTGAGCATGACCTGTGATGCAAAAAACCAGGCACTGATTCATGCTGATGATGCAACTAAGATTGCTGAGATTCATGCCAAGAAGGTGGAGATTCTCTCGGCTGAGTTGACTCAATTGAAGGCCTTGCTAGATTCAAAGCTTGAAACAGAGGCTAGCGAAAACAGCCAGATGGTGCATAACCTTAAATCAGAGGTAGACTGTCT